GGGCTCCCTCCTTAAACCCAGTATTTTTTTCTTTTGAGTAGAAAATAAATCTATCCTTTGTCCTAATAGGAGGAGATGCTATCTCTCTTCCAAAACTTTTTCCTACACAAACATCCTTGAAAAGATAGTATTGAACAAAGCTGCTAGTGCCTCTGATCAGAAGGCATGTAGAAATGTCAGAGACCCATTCAAAACTTGTCTCCCAACGATATCAACCCATGTTTATACACATCTTAGCTTCTGGAAAAATTTCCCATGAGTATGCCACTCTGTTGACCACTCTGATTAATCTGACTGACAAAGGCTAGGACCAAAAATACATTCAGTTTATCTTATGCAGGATCTGTAATAATTAAGGGTTAAATGAGGCTAACAAATTATTGATCTCACTTATGCCCATTCAAGGTCCCAGGCCCAAACAGCTAAATTAATTCTATAAGAAGCCACCTTAGCCAGGTATACTTCTTAAGTTTCTATGTTGATCATTCTTCTTGACTTCTGAGGCATTAATGTAGGTATAGCATGATTTCTTGTCAATTGTACAAACTTTGCCTTGACCCACAAAGGAGGAAATGTCTAGTCCAATTCTGGACATATAATACATAATAGTCCTGGCCCATCCGTTGAGGCTGATCTGAATGCCTTCTAGGTTCAAGGTGATGTTTTCTTAAGCACTGGATAATTTTAGGAGGGAGACAAGTTAATGTCCAGCTTCTACATAAGAAATACAATCTGGCTCGGCGCCTGTGGCTCAAGCGGCTGAGGCGCCAGCCACATACACCTAAGGTGGCGGGTTCGAATCCCCAGCCCGGGCCCGCCAAACAACAATGATGGCTGCAACCAAAAAATGGCCAGGCGTTGTGGCGGGGCGCCTGTGGTCCCAGCTACTTGGGAGGCTGAGGCAGGAGACTCGCTTGAGCCCAGGAGTTGGAGGTTGCTGTGAGCATGATGCCATGGCACTCTACCCAGGGGGATAGCTTGAGGCTCCGTCTCAAAAAAAAAAAAAAAAAAAGAAATACAATCTTTTTTTTTATTTCTATAGTTTCTTTATTTGATTCACCAGTAAATTTTAAATAAAAATAATCCCATTGTTAATTAAAAACCAGTAGACTGGATAATCTAGAGTATGGTAGACCACTAACTGCTTTTACAGTGCAGCTACTTACTGTTTCTAGCTCTCTTTTAAAAATTTGTATTTATTTTTATGGTGGTAAAGAACATTTAAAATATACTTCATTAACAATTCATAAGCATGAGTACAGCATTATTAACTGGACACATATTATTATACTGTAGATCTCTAGAACTTTTTCATGTTGTTTCACTGAAATTCTACATCCATTGATCAGCAAATCTCCATTCTTTCCTACCCTTATCACTGGCAACCATCCCTCTACTATCTGTGTCCAAAAGTTTGACTACTTTAAAAACCTTGCATTAATGGGATTATGTAGAATAAATACAATCTTAATTAATGTTTTTCCCTAAGTGAGATCTTGATACAAGTTGATAATGACTCCAACATGGGTTCTCAGTTCAGTTCTAATAATTAAGTGTAGTTCTTATTTTTGAAATGACTACTTGTGGACAGTCAGTCCAACCTTATCTATTTGCTATCAGCGAGATGACATTTGCCTGTCCCAGGGGATGACTGAGCAAATGGAAATAGGAGTGGAGAAGACATCCAAGGCATCTAGAGATTTTGACAAGTATTTTTCATGGGAGGTGCTATAGCTGAGATCATCCCTGTTATTTCTGATAGACTTTTCAGTAAGGTTCAGCAGAATAATGATTACATCATAGTCACTTCCAACTGGCAGGAAATGACAGTTCCAAAAGTCAGTTATATTAAGCCTCCTTCATTAGTTTGGAATAACTACATCAGGGCATTTTCCTTTTTGAGAAAGGTTATAAGGACAGTTATGAAAGACAAAATATTTTCAAGGTCCCTCCATATCTCCTAGGATCTGAGATATTTCTTCTTCAGGTGTCTAGATTTTTGCTTTCATTACACTGCCACGAAATTAGTACATCTCTTTTCAGTAAATTGACCCATTCTAATTACACTCAAACCATTTATCCTGAAAAGCTAGATACAAATGGGATGTAAGGATATTTTCATAAAACTTATAGAGAACCATTATGTTCTTCACTTAGGCCTTCTTGTGCTACTTTAGAACTCAGCTGGCAGTGTACTCAATCAAGTTGTCTTTATCCTTATGATCTAAGATTACATCAATTCGAGAGAATCCAGGTAGTTTAACAAGAATTAAATTTTAATCCCTTAGCCCCATTTTGGAAAACCTTCCACATGGAATATGTCCCTACTAGGGTGACTTGTGGTTGTCATTAGGGGAAAGAAAGAAGCACCATGTTTTGGAATGGTCAGGGCTAAATCCCAGATTTTCAAAATGAGTTTGTATAATCCCTCATCTCTTTCATACTGATAATCACACAGGAAGCAGATAAAAGAAAATTGTCCCTTCTAGGGACAACCACATTCAGTGAATAAAATTCCTTGGTAAGGCGTGTGGGCAAAGAACATGAAAGAGACAGCATCAGAAGTTTTTTAAGTCAATTTTTGAGGAGGCTGTTCCAGCACTAAATATCAGATGCCTTCGGATCATAGGGAGTATGAAAGGTCCATCAAATACCTTGATTATCTGCTACTTGTTGAGTGACTTTTACAATTTCTCACAGTTCTAAAAACAGAGAAGTCTGAGGTCAAGATGCTGACAGATTTTATTGTGGTGATAACCCTCTTCCTGACTGGGAGACAGTGACCTTCTTTCTGAGTCCTCACATAGCAAAGAAAAAGAGAAAGGAGAGAGAGAATTTTGGTTTCTCTTCCTCTTCTTACAAGGAAACTAATCCATCATAGGGGACCTACCCTCAACTCATACAAACCTAATTAACTTTCAAAGTCCCCACCTCCAAACGTCATCAGTTGGGGGTTAGTACTTCAACATACGCATTTCAAGGAGGCACAAACATTGAGTTCACAAAATCAATGTAAGGCCACTGTGGTTGGAATGGAGAGATGATGGAAACACAAGAAATGAAAAGATGAAAAAAAGGCAAACATTATACATTGGACAATTAGTACATAGCTGTTTTATTTAACTAGATTAGGTAAATAAGAAAAACTGTGAGAATAAAAAAGGTATAGATTATATTTTGTTGAGTTTGAGAATCATATAAGACCTTCAGATGGATATTTTTGGTAGACTAGTTGAAATTTCACTCTCACACTTAGAACAAAAGACTGGGGAAAATGTGTATATTGGGGAGACATTAGAATCCAGGCCATAGTTAAAGGTCAAAGTAATACAACTGGAGAGCAGTTATGTAGAAGAGAAAAAGAGATAAGATAGAATTAGGGAAGAATCACATGGAAATGAGAATCAGAGTTTAGGTAAAGAGAAAAGTTAGAAAAGGAGAAAAATCCCCATAAACTATATCACAGAGCCTGATACTGGGTAAAGCTACTAGAACAGAGAAGTATAAAGTGAGATAAACTTTTAAATATCAAGAATTGAAAAATATTCTTTGAATTTTAAAATGAGATTTCAAGCAAAAGCCAGTTTATAATGAAATGAACGATAATTTGTCTTTTTTTTTTTATTGAATGGTAACTGTGTACATTAATGCACTTCTGGGGGTACAGTGTGGTGTTTTCACACACAATCCAAGACACTTCCATCAAACTGGTTAACCTAGCCTTCATGTAACGTTCTTAGTTATTGTGTTAAAACATTTATATTCTACTCATAGAAAGATTCACTTGTACCCTTGTAAGATGAACCACAGAAGTGAACCCTCGAATCCCTCTCCCTCTACCCACTCCCCCCTCCCTCCCTCCTCCCCATATCCTTAGGTTGTTATTAGGTTATAGCTTTCATATAAAAAGGTTTAAATTAATTTCATAATAGAGGTGTGTACATTGGATACTTTTACTTCCATTCCTGTGATACTTTGCTAAGAAGAACATTCTCCAGCTCCATCCATGTGAACATGAAGGACGTAAAGTCTCCATCTTTCTTTATGAAAAACACAAGTTCTTACTGAATGATATATGTTTCTCCTTAACTTTTAAAGCATTTAAAGATAATTTACAGTATTATCTATCCTCAAAAGTTAGGTGAATGAAAGAATTGATTCAAATTTAAAACTTTTTTTATATTGGAAAAAGAAAATAATTTACTTAATTTCAATTCTAGTAATTTTTTTACCATGTTTTTTAACATTCTGTTACTGAACAATTGAAAAAGTTAACGTAACAGATCTTTTCCTGCCATTTTAACAAGCAGTTCTGGGCTCTAACAAGCAGTTCTGGGCCCTCCCAGAGTGGGGGAGTTGTCCGCCACCACCCGCGGGGATGTGCAAGGCTCTAGCAAATACTTCTGTGGCTGCCCGGAGCAGAGGAACTCCTCTCCGGCCACCTGCCACCAGCAGAAGGCTTGCGGCTCTAGCAACCAGTTCTGGACCTGCCCAGAGCCCTGGGGCAGGGTTCTTCTCTGCCGCTCGTGGGTTGCGCGGCTCTAGCAAGCAGTTCTGGGTCCTCCCAGAGTGGGGGACATGTCCACTGCCACCCGTGAGGGTGTGCAACACTCTACCAAGTCGTTCTGTGCTTTCCCGGCGCAGGGGGCTTTTCTGCGGCCACCCGCCACCCGCAGGAGGTGGACGACTCTAGCAAGCAGTTCTGGGGCCCACTTTGTACCTGTATTTTATGTTCTTAAATAATCTTCCTTGAATTTACAGCTTGCCGAACTTCTTTCTGGGCTCAGCTCCCCGTCTTTGGCTTCATAGATTCTAATTCCAAGCAGTTTTTCTTCCTTTGTTCAGGAGCCTCTGACCAGGGTTGCTATCAGTCGGCCATCTTCCCAGAATCCATGAACAATAATTTGAAGGAAAAGTCAATGGATATAGGCAGAGATGTATTTGTAAAATAGACTTTTAAAATTGTTTTCTGAATGAATAACCTCCAAATTTTATTTTAGGCTTGTGTTGGTGTGATGTTAGTAGGCCCAACAGGTGGAGGTAAAACAACAGTCAGAAGAATTTTAGAAAAAGCATTAGTACTATTACCAGTCATAGACCTCTTATCAGATGAAGAACGAACCTCTACTTCAAAGGTAACATTCTAGTAAATAAAATGTTTCCCCATTTGTTCATATCTTATTTTATGCTTCCATTAACATTCTATGTTTTCTTCACATAGGTATATTTACTACTTAATAAATTTATTGCCAGAAATTTTGCACTTAGGAATCATTGCAGTAAGATTCTTTCATCTCAATCTCAAACTAGTAATTGCTCAATAAAATAAAAGTATTGAATTATATATTATTATTATTATTTGCAGTTTTTTTGGCTGGGGCTGCATTTGAATCCACCACCTTCTGCATATGGGTCCAGGGCCCTACTCCTTTGAGCCACAGATGCCAGCCGAATTATATATTATTTTTATCTAGGCATCTTACTAAATGGACTTCTAACTTCTAATTGATTTTTAGGTATCAATAGAATAATCTTTGACTAAAAATAACTTTGCCATTTTTCCATTATTTTTATAACTTATATTCTTAATGAATTGATTAATCCTCTAAGACAATATTAACCATAATATGTGTTCTTTACTTTATCTGGAATGTATTTACTATTTCTGCATTTAATGTGATAGTTGTACTTTGTTGTTACTCTGATGAGTAACATACTTTATCATACTTTTTCTATTCCCATTATACTTTGGCTTTTCAACAGCTAGAGTTTATTAAGTTTTTTTAGCATATATTTTATCTTTTATGTTGATATTAAGAGATTTGCTACCACTGGTAAATTGTCCCTGAATTTCTAGGTTAGCCCCTTCCTAGACATAAAATAATTTTATTCACTGTGAAATTGGACTCTAATAAATAGTATGTACTTCAGTTACTTTATTTCAAAACTCATTGTTGGTAATCTATTCCAAAAGTTTTTAGAAAATCAGTTTCTCTGTTACATGGATATTTATCTTTCAGTTAATATTAAATATCCTACTTTAAAATCATCCATGAAATGGTTCATAATCTTTTATCCCTTTCCTCTAAACTCTCCTTCTCAACAGATCTCCATTAGTTCTTAATCATTATAATTAATAAGAAGTGAGTTACTATAGCAATAATAACTAAATAAGAACAAATATTTATAGAATATTAAATATGAAACAAATGCTATGATAAAACACTTTTACTTGAATTGCCCTCTTTAATCCTCACCACAACACCATGGGCAGTAATTTTCTTTATTAAAAAAGGTTTTAAGTACGAAAGTAGTATGTACAATTGTGAGAAGTTTGGAAATAATCAATAAAAAGCAACAATCACATAGAAAAATAATTAAAAGCATTTTGCTGTATTTCCTTTGATTATTTTTTCCTACACTATATATATTTTAAAATAATTGAAGTAGTATGTTATATAAGTGACCTCAATTTTTCTAATTTTGCTATGTGCTGATTCTATATGATATATTCCGACACTATATATATTTTAAAATAATTGAAGTAGTATGTTATATAAGTGATCTCAATTTTTCTGATCTTGCTATATGCTGATTATATATGCTAAGAATCAACCCCATGTTATTAAAAACTCACAAGTATCATTCTGATGACTGTATTCGGCATATTTGACTATACTATACTTTATTTATTGAATCTTTCATGTTTAATAGTTCTAAATTTTTGTTTTAAAAGTATATAATTGCAATAATCATATTTAGGGATGGTGGTAGGACCTTAGATAATGGAATTGCTTTGCTCATCCTCCTTAGTTCATAACTTTCTTCTCAATGGTCTGCTCAAAAATCTTCTGTTTAGTTTACTTTACTTTATTTCCTAAACTTCACTTCTCTTTTACCTTCATCATAGAAACCAAACCCTCTCTAATGTTTTTAGTATATGCCTCTGGACCTGTGTGTGTCCTTAAAAATTGTATACCCAGGAGTAGGATTACTGGTTGGTAGGGTATAATATCACCATGTACTACCAGGTAAAAATTGAGGGAAAACATAAAACATCTAGTTAATTTTTTTTTTTATATCATGAATACATTTACGCATATATGGGTACAATGTGTTGATTTTTTGTACAATCTGACTTGGTTACATCAAACCAATCAACATAGCTTTCCCCTCATTTACTTGATTATTGTGTTAAGACATTTTGAAGTGCGGGGTATCCTGGAGCAGTTTTGGGTGCAGGATGGCTATCTGCAGGTGAGACTCAAATCGCCACACCTGGCCCGTGGGTGGGAAAAGGTGCCTGTGTCAGTCGCCATTTCCCAAATTTCAAAATGTGTTTGTTTCCTAATTGGGATCCCTTCCCCTTAATTTTCCATCCAGTTGCCTAGCCCCCACTGCTCAGAACGGCACCCCTTTCTGGCTGCCAAATTCGGCTCAGGAATCCACACTTCACCAAACTTGCCACGCAGTACCCAGTTTCCACACAAACTGGGAATTGTAGTCCTCCGTGGGGGAGGGGCCGCTTCAGCAGCAGCACAGAAATTTTTCCGGCAGCCTCCACAGCTCCAGATTACAAGTCCAGCAATCCACCACTTCACGGCACACCCCGAACTGTCTACACTAATATTCCATGCTGGGAAAGATCTAGCCCGCTCACCGTCACCTGATGTTCTGGGAGAGCTGAGCTAAAGGTCCATCCCATCCAGGAGCTACCTATTGTTAGTACAACGTTTGCTTTCCATCTAGTTAATCTTTTTTTTTTTTTTTTTTTTTTTTTAAGTTGAGACAGAGTCTCACTTTTTCACCCCTGGTAGAGTGCTGTAGCATCATAGCTCACAGCAACCTCCAACTCTTGGGCTCAAGCAATTCTGTTGCTTCAGCCTCCCTAGGAGCTGGTACTACTGGCACCCACTATGACACCTGACTTTTTTTTTTTTTAATTTGTTTGTTTTAGAGGGGCTGGGCCAGGTTCAAACCCATGCCCTGGTGCATGTGGCCACACCCTAACCACTGAGCTAATTAGGTACCTAATTAATCTTTTTTAAGTATAAAATTCAGTGACATTCAGGGCATCCACAATGTTGTATAATTATCACCTCCTTCTAATTATTACTCTCAACAGAACACCCCCTTCCCATTAAGAACTCACTTTCCGTTCTCTTCCCTTTCCCTGGGAACCAGCAATGTGCTTTCTATTTCTATGGATTTGCCTATCTGGAGTTTTGTGTAAAAGGAATCATACATTATGTGGCCTCTTGTGTCTGACTCCTTTCTCTTAGCATATGTTTTTGAGGTTTATCCGTGTCATAGCATGTATCAGTACTTCATTTAATTTTATAGTTGAATATTAATTGTATAGAATATTTGTTTATCCATTCACTTATCTGTTCATCCCTTGATGGTTATTTGGATTGTTTCCACATTTTGGATGTAAAGAATATGATGTTTTAAACATTTATGTGTAAGTTTTTCAGTGGCAGGTTGTCATTTCTCTGGGATATATACCTAGGAGTACAATTAGTGGGTCATATGGTAATCCTGTGTTTAATTTTCTAAGAAACCACCAAATTTTTCTTCACAGCAATTGCACTATTTTAAATTGCCATTTGCAATGTATGAACCTTCCTATTTTTCTACATCCTCACCACTTGTTATTTTCCTTATTTTTTCCATTCTGGTGGATGTGAAGTAGTATATTATTGTGGTTTTGATTTGCATTTCCTAATGACCAGTGAAGGTGGAATACCTTTTCAGATGCTTATTGGCCATTTGTATATCTTCTTTGGAGATATGTCTGTTCATGCTTTTGTAAATTTTTAAATTAGATTGTCTTTATCAATTGTAAGAGTTCTTTATAGATTCTGGATACTAAAGCTTTAGCAGATATGTGATTTACAAATATTTTTTCCTATTTTATGAGTTATCTTTTCCCTTTCTTGGTAATAACCTTTGATACACAGAAGTTGTTAATATTTATAAAATTCAATTTTTTTTGTTTTATTGCTTATCTGTTGGTGTCAAATCTAAGGGGATGCAGATTTGCCTCCCTGGTTTTCTTCTCATAGTTTAGTTCTCATATTTAAGTTATTCATTTTAAGTTAACTTATATGGAGTTAAGTCGGAAACCAACTTCATTCTTTTGCATGTGGATATCCAGTTCTCCCTGCACCATTCGTTAGACACTATTCTTTTCCCCATTGAATGGTCTTTGTGTAGGAGTATTTCAGGACTTATTATTTCAAAAATGAAATAATTGTTCTATTCAATTGCTCTCTATGTCTATCTTTAGACCAGGATATTTGTGTTTTGATTACCATATATCTTTGTACAGTAGTTCCCCCATTATCTTTGGTTTCACGTTATGCAGTTTCAGTTACCTGTGGCTAACTATAGTCTAAAAATATTAAATGGAAAATTCCAGAAATAAATAATTTTTAAATTTTAAACACTACTTCACAATGCTTATATCATTCACCTAACTTCATATCATCACATAGGGATTTTATTACCTCACATCATCCACAATAAGACACTTTGAGAAAGAAAGACCACATTCATATAACTTTTATTATTATATCATATCCTTATTATTTACTGTATTATCATTATTAGAGGAAATACATAGTATATACAAGGCTTGGTACTATCAGCAGTTTCAGGCATCTACTAGGGGTATCAGATTTTATCCCCCAAGGAGGTATTTCTGTAGTAAGTTATAGTAAGTTTTGAAATTGCAAAGTATGAGTTCTCCAATTTGTTTTACTTTTTGCATATTATTTTGGCTGTTTGAGGCCCTTTGCGATCCCATTTGAATTTAAGGAATGGCTCTTCCATTTCTGCAGAAAAGTTTACTACAATTTTGATAGAGTTTGTATTAAATCTGTAGATTACTTCGGTGAACATTATCATCTTAACAGTATTAAGTTTTCCAGTCAATGAATGCAGATACCTTTTCATTTTTTAAGTTTCAATTTCTTTCAGCAAAATTTCATAGTTTTAGTACATAAATCTTTCCTTTCTCATTAAGTTATTCATAGACATTTTATTCTTAAGATGCTATCGTAAATGGGATTGTTTTTTAACTTCCTATTTTCGATTATTCATTTCTGCTGTATAGAAATGACTGATTTTTGTGTGTTGATCTTGTACTTTGCAAATTTGCAAATTTTTTTGATTACTTGTAATGGTAGTTTTTTGAATTCTTTGGGTTTTAGATATAATTTTACTTCTTTCTTTCCAATTCAACTGCTTCTCATTTCTTTCCTTGCTTAATTGCCTGGATTGATTTCCCTTACAAGATTTAATAACAGCGGTGAGAAAAGGAGTCCTCGTCCTATTTGTGATTTTAGGGGGAAGCTTTCAATCATTCACCATTGAGTATGATATTAACTGTGGGTTTTATATAAATGCTCCTTATTGTGTTAAAGAAGTGTTCCCTTCTATTCCCAATTTAGTAAGTGTTTTTGTTATGATAGGGTATAAAATTTTGTTAAATGCTATTTCTGCAACTCTTGATGTGATTGTGTGATATCTTTCCTTTGTTTTGTTATTGTATATTATATATTACATTGATTGATTTTCTTATGGATGAGTCTTACTTTGTCATGGTGTATAATCCTTTAAATATGCTATTGAATTCACTTTATTAGCACTTTGGGGAGGATCTTTGCATCTCTATGCACAAAGGATATTGTTTCTTGTGATATCTTTCAGTTTGGTATCATGGTAATGCTGGCCTTGTAGAACACTGGCATTGTATTAGGCAGTGTTACCTCTTTTAGGAGGTGATCCCTGTTTTTCTATTCACAGAAGTTCAGATAGGATTAGTATTAATTTTTCTTTAGATGTTTGGTAGAATTCATCTAACATCTGGACTTGGAATTTTCTTTGTCGGAGTTTTTGATACTGAGTCAGAGGCTTTGCCATTTGTCTGTTGAGATTTTCTATTTCTTCTTGAGTCCGTTTCAGTCATTTTTTCCAGGAATTTTTTCATTACATCAAGATTATATAATCACTGGTGCAAAATTGTTCATAATGTTTTCTTATAACTCTTTTAATTTCCATAAGGTAAATAATGTCCACACTTTCAATACTGATATTTATTTGTGTCTTTTCTTTTTTATCTTAGACAATCTAGCTAAAGTTTATTGATTTTATTAATCTTTCAAACAGCCAATGTTGGAATTATTGATTATTTCTGCTTTTTATTCAATATTTTGTTTATCTACACTCTAATAATTATATCCTTCTTTTTGATGACTTGAGATTTAGTTTGCTCTTTTTCTGTAAAGTGTGATTTTTAATTTGAGATCTTTCTTGTTTAATGTGGGTATTTATGTCTGTAATTTTTCCTCTTCAAGCAATACTCAGGTTAGTTAGAATGTTGCAAATTTGGTCTTCTTGAGTGCCAATTCTGACCTAAAGACTAAAAGTATATCCCACTGTCTCTAACCTCAGTGCTCACCCTTAGCTCTAAACATACTGCACCCCAGTTCTTATACAGGGTAGCCATAAATTAATGGCCACTTTGTATTATGTTCCTAAACTAGGCACACTGGGATTTTTTTCCCATTTAGGGGGTGGGGTACTGTTAGTATTTAGAATTTAATAAAAAGATTACAGATAATTTTAATAAATTGATTTTACTGCTTCTTAAAAATTGTAACCTTTATAGGGAGTCTGTCTTTGCAATGAAAGATTTCTCCTAAAACCGTTTGGTAATAGCAATGCAAAAAATGAAATAATCGTACTGTAAGTACTGTCTTTTAAACCACACTGGACTTTTCCCAGATTTTAGGAAGAAGAGGAAATGTAGAGGTTTGTGTTTTAAATCCGAAGTGTATCACTCTTGGTGAACTGTATGGACAACTGGATCCTAATACTATGGAATGGACTGATGGATTATTAACAGCAGTGATTCGAAGTTATGTATATTTTAACACTTCAAGTCATTCAAGGAAAGAAATTGATTATAGAATAAGGACAAGAATCTCAGATTTATCTAATGTAAGTTTAGTATTGAATGAATATTTTTATTTGACTTAATGTGGATTGTTTAATTATTAAATTGCTTATCCAAAGATTGGTAAAAGTAAATTTTTGTTAGTGTAAAGTGAATTTTAAAAATATTGTAAACAGTTTTGGAAAGAGAAAAATAATTTACTTTTGTAAATAATATTTACAAAAAATAAGCCTTTGAGTTTTAAGGTAGCCAGTAAACAATAGAATAAAGTTAAAAGTATTTGCTTTTAAAGGAACACAATGTGAATCAAGTCTATAAGTCTAGTGATTCCAGCACTAGCAATATACTTTACAAATTAAAGAGATTTTAAAAAGCTTCAGTGGGAAAGTGAATAAGGTAATTGATAAAAGATTCACCACGGGGTAAATATGAACAACAAAAAGATTTTAGAAAGTTACATTTCATTAGTATTAAGTAAAGATAACAGGTAAACTTTATTAGCTAAAATGTATTACAAAAAGATGACATTTAAATCCAGATTAGCAGAGATAAATAAAGGAAAATAACATTTCTCATTTGCTAAATGGTGAAGTAGAAATTTATACATGTCTGAAGATAACTTAGGGAATATATATTGAGATTTTAAGTTATGTATACGTTCCTTCTGATTTAGAAATCTAATAATCTAATCTCAAGAAAGTAAAAATTTTATTGAGTGTTGCTGTATTTTATATTGGTATGGGAATGGTTTCTATATTAAAAGGTAATTAATCATTGTCCTGTGCACTACACATATTTTCTCTATTTCATGAACATAAGTTTATCAGCATATTCTTTGTTAGCTTCTATTCTTCAGTCACGCCTGGAAAGATTTGCCTTAATATAAGATTATTCTGATGAATTGATGGTTGCTTAATAACCAGCATACAATAAGCAAACTCTTTTAAACCTTTCTTTCACATTTGTGTAAGTTACTTTGATGTAAGTGATTATCCTAATTTTTTCCCATATAGAAAATTATTCTGACACAATTGAATAAGTCTTCTCTTTTCCACTAATAGAAAATGATAAAGAGCCATGTGTATTTGAATCTATTTCTGCATTTTTTTTATTCTGCCTCTCTGTGAATAACAAAATGACACAATTTTAGTTACACTAGCTTTGTAACAAGTTTTACTATCCTTAAAACTAGTTCCTCTTCATCAGTATTTTTTTAGAATCTATTTCATAGCTGTTCTGCAATTTCTGTTTGTTTGCTCTTTGGGATTTTTTCCTTTCTGTTTTTTGTTTGTTTGTTTGTTTCTGGTTTGGTTTTGGATTTTGGATTTTCTTTCTTTTTTTCTTTTTCTTTTCTTTTCTTTCTTTTTTTTTTTTTTTTTTTTGAGACGGGTTCTCTTTTGCCCGGACTAAAGTGCAGAAGCATCATCATACCTCACTGCAAGCTCAGACTCCTGGCCTAACGCAATCTTCCTGCCTCAAATTCCCAAGAAGCTGGGCTACAGGTGTGTGCCACTATACCCAGCTAAGTTTGGTAATTTTTGTAGATAGGAAGTCTTGAAATGTTGCTCGGACTGGTCTTCAACTCCTGGCCTCAAGCACTCCTCTTGCCTCAGCCTCCCCAAGTGCTGGGATTAGAGATGTGAGCCACTGTGCCTGGCTTATTTGCTGTTTGATGCAAGAATTATTTGTGAGGTTTTTTTTTTAAGTTCTCAGGCAATAGAATCTTCACATTGTTGATGACTTTATTAAGTTTTAATTTTATTACGTTGTGATTAGAGAATATTGTCTCTGATAGTTTCTCTTCTTTTTAGAACATTTTAACATGTACTTAATATTACTATAAAATAATAAATATTTTTCTTTTTATCATTAAACTATTCCATTTGCATTTATTGATTATAACTTTTTTAGGTTACTGTTGTCATTTATTTTATGTTATGATTATTTTTTATTATCCAGTTTGTGTTTGCTTTGATTTATTCGTGTGTTTTTTCTGATAATTTGGAAGTTCAATAGTCTATTTTTGTGCTTCTAGGTGTTACTTTTATAGCTGTGATTTTATATAGTACCATCAATTCTTCACTGACTTTTTTCGTATATATATAATGATGAAATTAATATAGTTTTACCTCTTGTGACTCCTTTTTTATTCTAACTTTAGCAAGTTGTATTATCTTTTTCTTGTGTTCATTGTTTTAACTATATATATGCTTAAAATATTTCATTTTTTAAATAATTAGTTGGATTTACCAGTGCCTACTTGTATATAAAAATATTACCATAATTAAATTAAATGACATATCATTTTTCTACACATCTGACTTTTCCTAGATAAGTTTTTGTTATTCCATTGTGACAGATAACAACATATGTATTCTTTGCAGTAGCCATATTTTTAGAAATAAAAACTTATTGTAAAGATGATAATTCTTCCTAACTTAAGCTTTAAATTCACTGTAATTTTAATTTAAAATCCCACTGGGTTTTTGTTAAAATAGTCTTATTTAGATATAATTCATTTATCATAAAATTCACCCACTTAAAATGTACACTTCAATGCTTTTTAGAATATTCACAGAGTTTTATGACCATCACCATAATACAATTTTAGAACATTCTCATTATTGAAAAATATTTTATAATCTTAGGATTTACTCCCCCATTTCCAAATCACCACCTTCTCTCCACTTCCAAATGCCAGTCCTAAGAAATCATTAATCTACTTTATGTCTCTATAGATTTTCCTGTTGTAGACATTGAATATAAGTTGTATCATATGGTAGATAGTCTTTTGTGAGTGACTTCTTTTACTTAACATAATGTTTTCAAAGTATGCCCAAATTGTATCATGTATCAGTGCTTCATTCTTTTTATTGCTGAATGATATTCCATTCTACTGATATATCACATTTTGTTTGTCCTTCATCTGACGGACACATGGATGGTTTCAACTTTATGGCTATTATGAATAACATTACCATGAACATTATGTACAAGCTCTTGTGTGCACATAGGGTTTGATTTCTTATGAATATATACATCATAGTAGAATTGCTAGGTCATACAGATGGCCACTTTATGTTTAGCATTTTGAGAAACCGCTAGACTGTTTTCTAAAAGGACTGTGCTATTCCAGTTTCTCCATGTCCTCAAAAACTTATTAGTATACCTCTTTTTGTTAAAGCGACCCAAGTGGTAGTCAAGTGGTGAGTAATTATCCCTGGTTTGTATTTTCCTAGTGTTGACCAACTTTTCACACCGTTGGCATTTGTATATCTCCCTTGGAAATCCTATTCGAAGCCTTTGCCCATTTTTTAATTGAGTTACTCATCTTTTTGTTATAGAGTTTTGTCCCTTTTCAGATACACTATTTGCAAATATTTTCTCCTGTCTTTACTTTCTTTATGTTATTGTTTGCAACAGCAAGATTTTTAACTTTGATGAGGTATAGTCATCTATTTTCTGTCACTTGTCCTTTTGGTATCACATCTCTAAAAGGCTTTGCCTGACCAAAGATCATAAAAATTTACTTCTGTGTTTAATTCAAAGAGTTTTATTGTTTCAACTAATATTTAGGTCTTTAATTCATTTCCAATCAATTTTAGTGTAGGGTGTAAAAAAAGGATTCCACTTTATTCTTTTGCATGTAGATATCCAGTTGTTCCAGCAAATTATAATGAAGTTTTGTCTCCCCATTGAGTTGTCTTGACAACCTTGTCAAAAATCAGTTGATCTTAAATGTAAAGGTTTATTTTAAATCCCTAACCATTCATTTTTGTGTGTATCTTTATGTAAATATCACACTTGATTATGATAGCTTTGTAGTAAGTTTTGAAATAGAGAAATGAGTTATTTTTTAAGGTACCTGACAAACTGATTCCACTCTATTTATATGGAAGAAGTAAGGTCTATGGTACTCCAAAACAAGAAAAAGAGTGAGGATATGGGTGCCAAGACCTAACACAAGGCAAGAGTTGCTAAAAACTTAGAATAAAAGTGTCCTATTAGTGCGGACAAAGGTGGCAAATCTAAACTCATATGTGTAGAGGATATAATGTAAAAATACATATAGAAAAAGTTGTCATAATTTCTTGAAGAAATTGAAAAATTGAAAATTGTAGCAAGAGATTTTGTTATAGCTTTTGCAGTAGATAGAGGCAGCGTGGTGAAGTGATGCAATTTTTTTATTAAATTGATTTCAAAAAATTTAGTGGGTACAAGAAGTCTTTTTTGTTTCATGGATAAAATAGTATCATGCTGAAGTCAGGGCTTTCAGTGCCCAGCACCCCATCCCCACATTGTACTCAGCAGGTAGATTTCTATTCTACACCCCATCCTCCTCTCCCCTTTTGTTTCCAAGTTCTTCGTGCTTTGTTTAGTTCCCTCATATAAGTTAGAACGTGGGGAGTTCGTTTTTCCATTCTTGAGATACTTCACTTAGGACAATGATCTCCAGTTATAATCAAGTTGCTGCAAAAAACAGATTTCACTCCTTTTATGACTGAGTAGTACTCTGTGGTGTGTATATATGCCACATTTTCTTTATCCACTTATCAGTTAGTGGACACTTACATTGGTTCCATATCTTCACAATTGTGAATTGTGCTGAGATAAAATTTTGAGTGCAGTTGTCTTTTTAACAACATGATTTCTTTTCCTTTAGCAATTCTGACAGGGATAAGGTGGTATCTCAATGTGGTTTTATTTTATATTTTCTTTTTAATTAAAACTTTATTCAAATTAATATGAGGGTGCAATTTTTAGATTACATTGTTCTCACTTCCAACGTAAAATTCTAGTTGTAGAAGAGTACCTCACCCAGGGACCATGTTATACACACAATGTGAGGTGAGATCTTGCCTCATGTCCTCTCCTTCTCCTATACGCCTCCCCACTCCCCTCTCCCCCATTTCCCTCTACCCCTGAACTGGACTATATTAGTGTTTTATTCTTCTGAATCAATGTGGGTTTAATTTGCATATCCCTGATAATTACTGATATTAAATGTTTTTTCATATGTTTTTTGGCAATTTATTTGTTTTCT